AAAAAAATATATCTATCGTCCACAAAAGTGTGAATTTTAGGAATAATTATGTTTGTTCAAGTAGGGGACTCTTGTAACCTGCACGTACTCGCTGCGCTCGTATTCAAAGACTGAGTTTGTTTTAAAATCTAGAGATTTATTCTTTCAACAAAACCCACTTACAACTTCGCTGACATAATTCTGTGAGAATAAAGATGAATGATACTCAGCTTCGTCCTTTTCGTCCTTCGTCTTTTTCGTCCTTCGTCCTTTTCGTCCTTCGTCCTTTTCGACCTTCGTCTTTTCGTCCGTCGTCCTTTTCGTTCTTCGTCCATTTCGCCCTTCGTCCTTTTCGCCTTTCGTCTTTTTCGTCCTTCGTAATCCTCCTCGTCCTTCGTCCTTTTCGTCCATCGTCCTTTTCGTCCTTCGTCCTTTTCGTCCTTCGTCCTTTTCGTCCTTCGTCCTTTTCGTCCTTCGTCCTTTTCGTCCTTCGTCCCTTTCGTCCTTCGTCCTTTTCGTCCTTCGTCTTTTTCGTCCTTCATCCTTTACGTCCTTCATCCTTTCCGTCCTTCCTCCTTTCCGTCCCTCGTCCTTTTCGTCCCTCGTCCTTTCCGTCCTTCGCCCTTTCCATCCTTCGTCCTTTCGGTCCTTCGTCCGTTTCGTCCTTCGTCTTTCTCGTCCTTCGTTCTTCGTCCTTTTCGTCCTTTATCTTTTTCTCCCTTCGTCTTTTTATCGCTTCGTGCTTTTCGTCCTTCATAATCCTCCTCGTCCTACGTCCTTTTCGCCTTTTGTTCTTTTCGTCCTTCGTCCTTTTCGTCCTTCGTCCTTTCCGTCCTTCATCCTTTCCGTCCTTCATCCTTTCAGTCCTTCGTCCTTTTCGCCCTTTCCGTCCTTCGTCTTTCTCGTCCTTCGTTCTTCACCCTTTTCGTCCTTCGTTCTTGTTGTCCTTCGTCCTTCGTCCTTTTCATCCTTCGTCCTTTTTTCCTCCAACGTCATTTTCGTCCTTCGTCTTTCATCCTTTTCGTCTATTTCGTCCTTTTTGTCCTTCTCGTCCTTCGTCCTTTTCGTCCTACATTGTGCTCCCCGTCCTCCGTCCTTCGTCCTTTTCGTCCTTCGTCCTTTTTGTCCTTCGTCCTTCGTCCTTTTCATCCTTCGTCCTTTTTTCGTCCAACGTCATTTTCGTCTTTCGTCCTTCGTCCTTTTCGTCCTTTTCGTCCTTTTTGTCCTTCTCGTCCTTCGTCCTTTTCGTCCTTCATTGTGCTCCCCGTCCTCCGTCCTTCGTCCTTTTCGTCCTTTGTCCTTTTTCCGTTCTTCGTCCTTCTCGTCCTTCGTTCTTCATCCTTCTCGTCCTTCGTTCTTCATCCTTTCCGTTCTTCGTCCTTTCCGTCCTTCGTCCTTTTCGTCCTTCATCCTTTTCGTCCTTTTTGTCCTTGTTGTCCTCCCCGTCCTTCGTCCTTTTCGTCCTTTGTCCTTTTTCCGTTCTTCGTCCTTCTCGTCCTTAGTTCTTCGTCTTTTTCGTCCCTCGTCCTTTTCGTTCTTCGTCCTTTCCGTCCTTCGTCCTTTCCGTCCTTCGTCTTTTCCGTCCTTCGTCCTTTCTGTCTTTTGTCCTTTCCGTCCTTCGTCCTTTTCGTCCTTTTCGCCCTTTCCGTTCTTCGTCTTTCTCGTCCTTCGTTCTTCATCCTTTTCGCCCTTCGTCATTTTCGTCCTTCGTCCTTTTCGTCCTTCGTCCTTTTTGTCCTTCGTCCTTCATCCTTTTCATCTTTCGTGCCTTTTTCGTCCAACGTCATTTTCGTCCTTCGTCCTTTTCGTCCTTCGTCCTTCGTCCTTTTCGTCCTTTTCGTCCTTTTCGTCCTTTTTGTCCTTCTCGTCCTTCGTCCTTTTCGTCCTTCATTGTCCTCCCCGTCCTTCGTCCTTTTCGTCCTTTGTCCTTTTTCCGTTCTTCGTCCTTCTCGTCCTTCGTTCTTCGTCCTTTTCGTCCTACGTCCTTTCCGTCCTACGTTCTTTGCGTCCTTCGTCCTTTTCGTCCTTCCTTTTCGTCATTCGTCCTTTTCGTCGTTCGTCCTTTTTGTCATTTTCGTACTTTTCGTCCTTCCTCGTTTTTTCGTCCTTCGTCTTTCGTGCTTTTAGTTCTTCGTCCTTCGATATTTTCTTCCTTTGTCCTGTTTGTTCTTTGTCCTTTTCGTCCGTCGTCCTTTTCGTCATTTTCGTCCTTTTCGTCCTTTTCGTCCTTTTCGTCCTTTTTCGTCCTTCCTTTTTTCGTCCTTCGTCCTTCGTGTTTTTCGTTCTTCATCCTTCGATCTTTTCTTCCTTTGTGCTTTTCGTCCTCTGTTTTTTTCGTCCTTCGTTCTTTTCGTCCTTTTCGTCCTTTTCGTCCTCTTCGTCCTTTTTGTTCTTTTGGCTCTTCCACCTTTTCGTCCTTTTCGTCCTCCGTGCTTTTCGTCCTTTTCGTCCTTCTTGTCCTTTTTGTCCTTGTCTTTCTCGTCCTTCGTCCTTCGTCCTTTTTTCGTCCTTCGACCTTTTCGTCCTTCGACCTTTTCGTCCTTAGTTCTTCGTCCTTTTCGTCCTTGGTCCTTTTTTCGTCCTTCGTCCTCTTTTCGTCCTTCGCCCATTTTTCGTCCTTTTCGTCCTTATTGTCATTTTCGTCATTTTCGTCCTTTTCGTCCTTTTCGTCCTTTCCGCCCTTTCCGTCCTTTTCGCCGTTTTCGTTCTTTTTCGTTCTTTTCGTCCTTTTCGTTCTCTTTCGTCCTTTTCGTCAATTACAGTTAAACACAAACAACCTCGCTAAAACTCTCTTGAATAATTGTGAGACTAACCTTTAATACAAGAACGGTTAGAATGCGAGCGCAGTGAGCACGTTCAGGTTTTATTAAAAAAAATGGTCTAAAGTTTTAATATTATTGCGAAAATAGAGTGATCAGTTTTTGATTCGTACAGTAAAATAGATTGACTCATTCATTTTTTTTTCACTCTGTATAACTAATTCTAAAAATATGAATGCACGGGTAAACCACATCTACAGAGTGATAACAATGCATGTTTTAGATAGGATTTATTCGTCAAGATTTTGACACGACATCATAAGTTTCTTAGGAGAGGGTAAACGAATAAATGTTTGTTAATGATAAAGTATTCGATTTTTCAATTCCAAAATTAAACTGTAAAATGTCGTTATGCAGTTTTTATTTTTATTTTTCAAAAATCTGGGTTCTTAAACACTCAACACGAATTCATAAACTACTAACATACTCCTCCATATGTTATTTTATAAATTTTAAATAGTACATATTTACTACGGTAAATGTCGTAAATGACATCATGTTATTGTTGGTGGAGATGATAAGACAAATTTTCCTAAAATAATATTCCTGAATGTGACAACAATCGCTCCAGTAGTCTCGGAAATTATTTATGTAATAATAAATCGACACAGACGCGAACAGACGATAGATCATGTTAGGGTACAGATCAGCAACTTTTGATTATTTTGATTTCTCGAAAACGCTTGGGTGTAGCTAAATCGATTCATTTTTCAAAAAGGAGACGATTGGCTCGGTTTTCATATTCTGGTAACTGTAGCTTTGACAACTTTGTTCAGAAACTAAGAAACTGTTAGTTTTAGCAATAGTTTCCACAATTTATTACGTTTTCTCAACTCAACAGGCAGGGAAATGCTGATGTACGTTTAAATTCGATTTCGAACTATGTATTCTCATCAAATTTGTAAAACTGGCTTACATGAGATCTAGTTCTGAAAATTCTTTGGCCATAATCTACGAATATTTTGTAGGTGGTAAAATATTAACCAACATTTTATAATTATCCTCACCAATACTTAAAATTTTTCATAAAATACCACTTAAATATAGACTTAGATATAGACAATGAATTTGTATGAATGTTTGACTTCATTTTTCTCAATTTATGAACGTATAATTCCTAAATAGGTTTAAAAACGTTTTCTTTTCGGTCCCCTATACACCCCTGTTCGATCCGCGGCTTTTATTTACTTTACTCCCTTGCATCCCTTACGTTACGTCTCGATTGTTTAGACGTCATTTGCACTCGTATTTACCTATACCGTAGCCCCTTTACTCCATTAATGCCTTCATTTATCCGACTCCCCTGTACCGAGACCCTTTACGTAAGGATTCTTATCTGTCGTGACCCTTTTACGTAATACTTCCAGAATGTTTTCCTCTGAATCTCAGTATCCATGTTCTGTTTACGGATTTTATTTATTTGTTTACCTTCTTAAGCAATTTATGAACGCATTCGCCTCGGTTCCTTGTACATCTGTATTCGATTGCGGCTTTTATTTACCTTTTACTCCTTTGCATCATTTATGATCGCATCCGACGCAGTCCCTCGAACGTCCATGTTGGATTTACAGTTTTCATTTACCGGGTGCACTGATAAATGTACCTTTATTATCCATTCATGATGTTAGTATCTTATTTTTTTTTAGAGGAATAAATTTCAGAGCTTCGATAATTGTGGTTTTAGACACTCGTTTTTTAAACACTCGCTCCGCATTTATTCAAAAAAAGGTCCTTTACACTTTTACGTATATGGTATATATTATTTTTTATTGACCCTCTCCTCCTGGTTGTTTCGCCACTCGCGTCCGAGAACACGTCCCGCCATTTTATTTTATGACGTATAAAGATCCTCCATTTTTAGTGTCGTAGATCGTGGTTTGCGGTTTATTTAACGGTTTGAATTAACGCCATGACACTTCGAGGGCAATTTAGGACTGTCCTTGACTCCGGAATGTCCTTGATTTTTAAAAATTGAAATAGACACTATTTAAAAACACGTACGCCACTGCTGAAATCAGTCATTTTGTAACACTGCAAACACAGAAACACAACCATGGCGGAAATAAATCCGAAACGTGCGTTCCGCTGGTTCATTAAACGCGTCTGTTTATCATGGCAAATTCACGAAATAAATCAACTTTATCGACTACATCCTATGTTGTTCCAACTGAATGAAACGAAACTGATTAAAATTAGACTTACTGATTTAACGTCATGTTGGAAGAGCACATATTTAAGGTCCTTTGAGCACTGATACCCCTTGACGTTCAGTTGCCTCTGAAAAAAACCCGTCGTAAGATTTATGTAATCAAAAACGAAAAAACTTACCAAAGTGTGATTAGTAACTAGAACACTAACGGAGAAATTAACACTAGTGTCGAGTATAGCCAGGCTTCCGTCGTCAGCTTGGTAAACGAAATGAGAGTGTGAAATCCAGGAAGGAGGTAATCTTCTAGGAGTCAGCTCGCCCTGAAATTGTGACAAATGTAATTGAAACCAACAGGAAATAAAGGACAAGAAGGAACACTCGTCTGAGAACGATATTAGGCGCTCATAAAGACTATTAAGGACAAGTCAAGCGGCAAAATTCCTTCGGAATTCTGACCACCGACTCCAGCGCTACGAATTTCTCGAATAATTTAATTAAAATTTATCGTAATTTAGTGTTCGTGTCCAAAACAATAATTCCGGGAGCGAGGATAGGGAAGTTCTATTGCCAAAACTCACTGCAAACTTTAAAAGATAAATCAAAAACATTCTTGAGCGGAACAACTGAATGAAACCTTGCAGTGCTAGTTCCATAAAGAAAGTTTTCTGTGTTAACGTCGAGTTTGATGCTACAACTCTACGAGTTGGATTTGTCATGAGAATTATTACTACGGCCGGACTGACATCGATTTTTTGGGGGCGTTTAAAGTAAACTACGTTTTATTATTTTGTGCTCCTCGATTTTTCTTGATTTTTGAGTTCATGCTGTTACCTGGGCAGTGTTGGTGCACGTGACAATTTTTCTGCAAGTACATCTGCCGACGGTACGTTTTTACTTCCCGAGCGTAAGCGAAGCGAAGTCCGTCTGTCTGTCCGTCTGTCCGTCCGTCTGTCTGCCGTCCCGGATTTTTATTAGACAGATAATCTCTGAAAGTCCTGGGCCGATTGTTATCAAATTTTGTATTTATATTAGAAATATCATGTATCTGGTACAATGCTAACCAAAATTTGTCTAATCATCCCCATCAATAATGTGATGACGTCACTTCAAAATTGGACATTGTCGACTCCAAGCGTTCAGAAGCGATTGAATAAATGAACATTTTTGGTACATATTTAGATGGTGTCTTAAATTAACAATATTGTTGAAATCGTAATAATCCGATGGATTTTTTTCGGGAAAATTTAGTTATTTTTTATGTTTTGGAAACATTGTCTCTACTCCATGTGGATTTTTAAATGTTTTTAGTGACAAATTTTTGTTTTTATTTTCGATACATTGCGTGATATTATCACCGAGAAAAAATATAATCGAAAATTTGAAAAATCGAAAACCTGAAAAATCGAGAAATCTAAAAATGGAATGATTTTAAAAATCGAAAAACAAGGATGTCAAGAAATCGAAACACAAAAAAAAATGGTAAAACTGAACAACTGAAAAATAAAAATATCGAAGAACTGAAAATCGAAAAATCGAAACATAAAAAATTAAAACAAATGAAAAATTTGAAAATCTAAAAACGAAAAATCGACTATTCAATTTCTCTATTACTCGATTTTCTTTTAATTTTTGGATGTTTCGATATTTTAATTTTTTGCTTTTTCGATTTTTCGACTTTTCAGTTCTTCAGATTTCGTCATTTCAGTTTTGGAATTTTTCAATTTATTCATTTTTAGTTTTTTGACTCCTCATTTTTCGGTTTTTTGATTTCCATTTTTTAGGTTTCTCAATTTTTTGATATTTTAGTTTTTTTTATTTACCTATTTTTTTTAATTTAAATTTTTCAATTTTGTCTGTTTAAATTTTCAATTTTTCAATTTTTATCTTTTCGATTTTTCGGTTTTGGATATTTTCTATTTCTTTTCGACTTTCCAATTTCTCTATTAACCCATGATTGAGTTTTTCAATTTTTGGATATTGCTTTTCTTTGATTTCTCGCTTTCTCAATTTTTCGACTTCGCGGCTTTTCAATTATTCGATTTTTCGATTTTTCAGTTTTTCCATTTCCCAATTTTTCGTCATTTCAGTTTTGAACTTTTTCAATTTATCGATTTTTTTAATTTAAAATTCTTTAATTTTTTATACATTTTAATTTTAAATTTTTCATTTTCCACTTTTCTATTTCCCGAATTTTTGACATCTCGATCGATTTTTCAATGTTTCAGTTTTTCAAATTTTCGATATTTTGATTTCGCGGTTTTTCAGTTTTTCGACTTTTCGGCTTCTCAAGTTTTAGATTTTTCGATTTTCTAGTTTTCCGATATTTCGATTTTTCAATTTTCAGATTTCCCAAATTTTCCTGATTTTAGTTTGGAACTTTTTAATTTCTCGATGTTTCAGTTTTTGATTTTTCAATTTTCCAATTTTTAGATTTCTCAATTTTTTGATGTTTTAGTTTTTTTATTTACCTATTTTTTTTTAATTTAAATTTTTCAATTTTGTATGTTTAAATTTTCAATTTTTCAATTTTTAACTTTTCGATTTTTCGGTTTTGGGTATTTTCTATTTCTTTTCGACTTTCCAATTTCTCTATTAACCTATGATTGAGTTTTTCAATTTTTGGATATTGCGTTTCACTGATTTCTCCCGTTCTTGATTTTTCGACTTTTCGACTTTTCAATTATTAGATTTTTCGATTTTTCAGTTTTTCCATTTCCCAATTTTTCGTCATTTCAGTTTTGAACTTTTTCAATTTATCGATTTATTTAATTTAATATTTTTTAATTTTTAATACATTTTAATTTTAAATTTTTCATTTCCACTTTTCGATTTCAAGAATTTTTGACATCTCGATCGATTTTTCGATGTTTCAGTTTTTCAAATTTTCGATGTTTTGATTTCGCGGTTTTTCAATTTTTCGACATTTCGGTTTTTCAAGTTTTAGATTTTTCGATTTTCTAGTTCTCCGATATTTCGTTTTTTCAATTTCCAGATTTCCCAAATTTTCCTGTTTTCAGTTTGGAATTTTTTAATTTCTCGATGTTTCAGTTTTTGATTTTTCAATTTTCCAATTTTTAGAATTCTCAATTTTTTGATGGTTTAGTTTTTTTTATTTACCTATTTTTTTTAATTTAAATTTTTCAGTTTTGTATGTTTAAATTTTCAATTTTTCAATTTTTAACTTTTCGATTTTTCGGTTTTGAGTATTTTCTATTTCTTCTCGTCTTTCCAATCTCTCTATTAGCCCATGATTGAGTTTTTCAATTTTTGGATATTGCGTTTCTTTGATTTCTCGCTTTCTCGATTTTTCGACTTTCCAATTATTAGATTTTTCGATTTTTCAGTTTTTCCATTTCCCAATTTTTCGTCATTTCAGTTTTGGACTTTTTCAGTTTATCGATTTTTTTAATTTAAAATTCTTCAATTTTTTACACATTTTAATTTTAAATTTTTCATTTTCAACTTTTTTCACTTCTTGATTTTTCGATGTTCCTGTTTTTCGAATTTTAGATTTCCCAATTTTCCTGATTTCAGTTTGGATTTTTTTAATATCTCGATGTTTCAGTTTTTTGATTTTTTAATTTTCCAATTTTTAGATTTCTCAATTTTTTGATGTTTTAGTTTTGGGATTTTTCAGTTTTTGGATTCTTCAATTTTTCTCGATTTTCCAATTTCTGGATCTTCTGATTTTTCGTTTTTTTTTGATATTTCAATTTCCTGATTTCTCGAGTTTTCAGTTTTTCAATATTTCTACTTCATTTTTTTAATTTTTAAATATTAGATTTTTCAGTTTTTTGATGTTTCGATTTCCGAATCTTTCGATTTTTCAACTTCACAGCTTTTGGTGTTTCGATTTTTCAAATTTCCGATTTTTTAAAATCTTTGATTTTTCAGTTTTTCGATTTTTCAATTTTTCGCTTTTTTTTAACTTTTGGATTTTTCGATTTTGGGGTAATTCTACTTTTCGATATTTTTCGACTTGAGTTTTCAATTTCTCGATTTCTCGACATTCAGTTTTACAATTTTTGGATGTTTTTAAAAACCGAAAAACGAAAAATGGAAAAATCGAAACTTCAAAATTTAAAAAATCGAAAAATTGAAAAACCAGATAATTGAAAGAAACATCGAAAAACTGGAAAATCGAAAAACCGAAAAGCAAAAAATCGAAAAACCGAGAAATCGAAAAATCAAAAGATCGAGAAAGCCAGAACTCGACGAATCGAAAAATTGAGAAACCGGAATAGGCCAAAATAAAAAAATCGAAAAGTTAAAGAAAAAAAAACAAATCTCGATAAATCGAGAAATCAAAATATTTAGAAATTCGAAAAATTTAAAAATTGAAGTATTGAGAAATCGAAAGACGAAAGATTGAGAAATCGAAAAATCAAAAAATTGAAAAACCGAAATAGGCCAAAAGGCCTATTCTCAATTCGACCTAAAAAATCGAAAAGTTATAAGTTGAAGAACTTATAAATCGATAAAAAATTTTAAAAATGAAAAATTTAAAAAACGAAAAATTGAATAACAGAAAATCTAAAATCAGGAAGCCGAAAAATCGAAAGATTAAGAAATAAAACATTTGAAAAATTCTAAAAATTGAAAATTCGAGAAATCGAAAAATCTAAAATTTAAAAATCGATAAAAGTAAAAAATCGAGACATCGGAAAATCCAGAAGTCAAAAATCGAAAAGTCGAAGAATCGAAATATTGAAGAATCCTAAAAGTGAAATATCGAAAAACTGAAAAATGAAAGAAAAACTGAAGAATGGATAAACTGAAAAATTTCAAAACTAAAATATCTAAATGTTGAGTATCTAAAAAATTGAAAAATTATGAAATCGAAAAATCAAAAAAGTGAAGTCGAAAAGTCGAAACCTTAAAAAAATCGAAAAATTGAAGAATTGAAGAACTGGAAAATCGAAACATCGAACTTGAAAAAATGGGAAAATCAAAACATAGATTAATTGAAAAATCGAAAAATTGAGAATTTAGAAAAATAAAAAATTGGAAAACCGAGATATCGAAATATTTAAAAATCGTAAAATTGAAGAGGAGAAAAATTGAAAAAACGTAAAACGAAACATTGGAAAATTGAAAATGGAGAGACAGAAACATTGAGAAATTGTAAAATCGAAAAATTGAATAATAAATATTCTGAAAAATGCCAAAACTGAAATTTCGAAAAATTGAAAAACAGAAGAATGGAAAAACTGAAGAATTTCAAAACTAAAATAACCAAAAAATTGAGACATCAAAGAGTCAAGAGAGTGAAGTCGATAAATAAAAACCTTAAAAAATTGAAATCAAAAACCTAAAAAAT